TCTTATAGCTTGCCATTTTTTTTCAATTTCATATTTTTGGTTTAACCACACTTTAAGAATAATGGAGTTCAAGCTTGCAAATAATTTTTTATTCTGCATGGAAATACAATTAATTGCAAAAGAATTACAAGTTTCAAAGTTGAAGGTACATTCCGATGGTTTGATAAAACTCATTTTTCTTCCTCTAAATAAAAAGTTAACTGCACTTATGGAAAGTATTTTATCTTGTAAAATAAGCCTGTCAGAGTTAAATACCCTATTTCCAGATTATAAGGTTCAAGAGCATGTTGAAGAGCTAAAATACATTTCAGAATATTTAAATCTCAATTTTAGTCGGCATGACTTTGATAGAAGTTTAGCTAAGATTAAAACAATATTTTTAATGCAAGAATATTCTGAATATGCATCAGTTGCACTTCGAGTTAAATTACAATATAATCTTAATGGAGATTTTAGTGCTCTCGAATACATTGTGGTAAGATTTATTTTGAATTTTATTTTTTTTTGGTATAGGACAAATATTGCTAGAACTTAAATTGAATTTATTTAAAATGGATGTTTAAAATTTTTTTAGCGTCCTTTAAATGAGTTTGCAGAGTTGGAAGATTTAATTTCTTGCGAAAAAAACGAGCTTTTGTTTCAAAAGTTAACTCCAACTATCATTGAAATATTCAAGTCTATTTCTTTATGCATGCATTTTTTTGGACTGGGTAAAAAATAACTTAAGAGGTTAGAATTCAACACTTGTTGTTTTTATTTTTATTTTGAATTTAAAATTTTATTAATTTTTTTTGAATAAAAAAAGTGTTCCTATATTTTAAAAAGATATAACAAACAGAAAGACAATATCTAGATAATTTATTCAATGCATGAATAGAAATATGTGAAGGTGAATAAAGTATTTTAATTTTATTCATAAATGCAATTACTTATTTCAAATGATAGTTATCCTGATGCAATCCTTTTATATTTATTTAATTGGAGAGTTTTTTATGAGAGTAACTTTAATTTATCCATTTGTTCAGATGCCCATATATTTCTGTTTTTATTTGAGTTGTTCAAAGTTTCTAATCAAATAATAAGCTTAAGTGGTTTAACCTTATAACATTTTAATATTAAGTTGGTTATTGTAACATAAACAAGATTCCTTACATTATACTCAAAATGCCTGTTATTTTTATGTAACCGAAGCGTAACATTGTAAAAAAATGTTACATGCAAAATGTTCATCAATTTTACGTAACCGAGATGTCACATATTATGTAATGATATGTAAAATTTTAAACTAATGAGAGCTAACATTGTAACCTATCTTTCTAGTTTAATTTTTTCTCTTTATTAGACTTTTTTTTTCTCTTTATTAGATACATATTATACATATATATATACATATATATATATATATATATATATATATATATATATATATATATATATATATATAACATATATATATAATATATATAATATATAAATATATATATATATATATATATATATATATATATATATATATATATATAATATATATAGTATATATATATATAATATTATATATATATATATATATATATAATATGTATATATATATATTTCGGAGTTATAGAGTTGAGAGAGGGTTATAACCACAAATAAGTAGCCTCCTCGTCTGTAGTGGCCTTCTCGACCTTGAGGAGGTGAATTAAAATAAAAATATATTTATATATATATATATATATATATATATATACATATATATATAATATATATATATATATATATATATTTATATATATATATATATATATATATATATATATATATATATATATATATATATATATATATATAACTATATATATATATATATATATATATATATATATATATATATATATATATATATATATATATATAAATATTTATTTTTTATTTTTTTATTTTTTATTTTTTTATTTTTTATTTTAATTCACCTCCTCAAGGTCGAGAAGGCCACTACAGACGAGGAGGCTACTTATTTGTGGTTATAACCCTCTCTCAACTCTATAACTCCGAAACACAAACCTTGACGAACAAGGCCTCTGCACAGAGAAACGAGTTGAGCGCAGTACTACCAGGGACGTGGTGGGGATCGAACTTGGAACCACTCGCTTATGAAGCGAGCGCTTTACCACTACACCACTACCGCATATATAGTATATATATATATATATATATATATATATATATATATATATATATATATATATATATATATATAATTCTACAACTTTGTGAAAGTCAGAAAAAGTCATGTTAGAAAGATAGTTTAAAGAAAGCAGATAGATATTGCACTGTATGTTAAAATATATAAAATATACATTTATTCGGTTACAACTAGTTAATGTACTTGATTAATATTATGAAAACTTTTAAAGAGGTTGACATTTTATATACATTTTTGCTTGTGAGTTTATAAAAACTTGTGTTACTACTCTTGTATTATTAACCAAATAAAATATAATGTAACATAACAAAATCTAGATATGAGACGTAGTTAAAATACATCTCAAATATAGATTTTTTAATGTTATGTTGCACCTCAGAGAATTGAAACTTTTTTGTTTTTGTGACAAATTATTAACAAACAAAAAAAAAAAAAAAGTTACTAATTAAAATGAATTTATTTTAAAATAAAATGGTAAAAAATAGCAGTTTTTGAAAAAATATTTTTTAGTTACAAACGCATTGTTAAATATTCTCAAAATGTAACCAATCAAGATGTAACATAATGTAATACATTTAAGAATTGAAAGGTAATTAAAATAATAAGTAAAAAATTTTTTTGCATTACATTAGGTCTTTTTTTTTTTTTTTTTTTTTACATTTAAAAATGTAACCAATTAAGATATTACATAACATTAAAAAAATCTATATTTGATTTATATTTTGGCTACATCTCAAATCTAGATTTAGTTATGTTATGTTATGTCTAAATTGATTATAGTTTTTGAAATGCTCATTGGTTAAAACAATTAAGACGTAACATTACAAATTGCAACTATATTTTTTTTGTGACTTAGTAACCAATTGAGACAAAACTATTTTACAATAAAGATTAAATAAAAGTTGGTAATTAGCAGTATGGAAATAATAAATAATCATTTACTTTATTATCAAGTTTATTTACTTAATATTTAATAAAAAACTAGAGAATGTAACCTTGTTAACAATTTTAACTAATTGAGATGTAATGTGACTTTAAAATGTTATTTGAGTTAATAGTCCAGAATTATCTGTATCTGTTATTTAAAGACCTCATCTCATGTTAATACTTAAGACTGCATGTATCACTCAAATGTTTAACATTTTTGTTTGAAATACATTCCACTAAGTAATTACTTGGCTAAATAAATTCATTATGCTGGTCTCATTTTTAGCCCTGGCCTCGGTCCTGGCTATATTTTGCAAATCCAGCCCAGGCTCTGTCAAAATTTTAAGATTTAGCACAGGTTAATAGCTGGGGCTAGAAATAAATTCATAATTCTTTATATATTATAGCTTTATACTTACATTTACTATTTATTAAATTGCATATATATACCAAAATCAAACATAAATTTGAAAAAAAAAAAGTACTTTAGGATGTATAAATACTTATGCAGCCCTGGCTATATTTTATCAAACCCGGCCCCAGTCAAATATCAACCCCGGTCGTTTACTACCTCTATTATTTTTCATCTATATATCTTTTTTTAAAAACACTGTAACTAGCATCATGAGTGTAAATTTTATGTGTTAATGATTTTTTTAATCTTATGGTAATATTTACTTTTATACAGATCCAAAGGAAGTAAAAGTTTTTGTTGAAATAATGTCTATAGCAGCAGGTGAAACTGATTATGATTTGGATAGAGTAAAATGTTTTGAAGCAAGCTGTCTTGTGTTTAACAATGTGATCTTTGACTTGGATAATAACTCAGGATTTAAAGAACTATTAAACGTTTGTCAACAAATAGAAAGAAAAATGAAGAGTGATCCTAACATACTTATAAAACTTGTGAGTTATTATTATTATTATTTTTTTTTGCATAAATTATTAACTTGTTATATATCTTATATAACTTATACAGTATATAAATAGTATATAGTTTTATATTATAATTATTTATTGTAGTTATATATTATAACTTTTAATTTTGTGTGTGTGTCTTTAGAAGTATATGTATTCATCTCTATATAGTATATATATCATTTTTTTAAATTTGTTAATCATTCTTATATATCTTTACATTTGTGTTTGTGTGTGTCAATAGAAGTATATAAATCATGACTTTATTTAGTATATATATATATATAATATCATAAATTTTTTTAATTATTTTTATATATCCTAATATATAGGTATGTATATATATATATATATGTATATATATATATATATATATATATATATATATATATATATATATATATATATATATATATATAAACACACATATACCACTTATATGTACATAAAAGTATACAGTAATATATTATATAAATATATTTTTTTATAAATGTGTCTATATACCTACATAAAATAAATATTAGTTAAATGCTTTTTGATAAAATGATTTTATATAAATGTATTTATTTAGTAAATAAGTTGTTTTTTTTTTGCATTTTATTTTTGTTTTAAAAAAAATATTAATAATAAATTACCTTATATTTATAAATGAATATGTTTTAATATAGATAAAAATAATAGTTAATAATTATTTAAAAAGTTGTTACTAGAAGTAGAATGCTCAGATCAAATCAACATTTAGAGGTTCTGGAAATACCATGTTTCAAATCCACATCTGGAAATACCATGTTTCAAATACACATCTGGAAGTACCATGTTTAACTTCTTTTTCTGCACGGTGGCCTTGTTTCACAACGCGATGGTGCGTTTAACAAGTTTTAGATTTTGGAGTTTAGGATTAGGAAAAAGATGCAAATAATTAAAAAAAAATCTAAAAATTTAACTAAAAAACAAAATAATAAAAAATCAAGTAGCATCCTTGAAGTTGCCTTCTCTAGGGCCTTGGGGATGCAAGTTTAATTTGAAAAAAAAATAATGTAAAGCTCTTATTTTAGGCTTTACAAAGTAAAAACTGATTTAATTTTTATAGTTTTAAAGTAAATTTATTTTCAAAATAATTTTTAGATTTATTTTTGTATACTATTTATGTTTTATTTTTGTTATTTTTTTATTTGTTAGATTGATACAAATAACAACCTTGAGTGGTTTAAAAATGCAAAGAAATCTCAAGGTTCAGTGGCAACAAAAACTATTATGGAAGCTCAAATAGCAAATCGAAATGGATGTTTTGTTATTGGCAATTATGGAAACAACAATGGTGACTTTATTGTGAATAAATTGTCTGATGTTATTAAATTTGAAATAGTAAACTCTACACCTAAAGCATATACTCTTGAGGAAGTAAATGATTTGCAAAGTCGCTTGATGTTGCTTGGAGGTGATATTGGAGGGAACTCTTTAGTTGAGAAACAAAAAGAAAGAGATTACTTTATTGAAGTAATTAATTTTTGTATTAAAAAACATTTTTAAAGTTTTGATTGTTATTACAAATGATTATTATCTTTATTTCATTTGCAAGTTTTGATTACAGTATTGAAAAATAATTATGAGAATTCTAATAATTTTTTCAAAAGCTCTAATATTTTTTATAAAAGTATTACAAAAAAACTGGCAAAAAAAAAGAAAACTTTTTTACATGTTATTTGAATATTAAAAAAAGCAAATTTTTTACATGTTATTTGAATATTAAAAATTGTAGCAATTCTAATTCTGTTTCTAAAACTTATAAAAAATCAAAGAAACAGTTTGTTAGTTACTCTTATGATGATAATAATAATAATAATAATAATAATAATAATAATAATAATAATAATAATAATAATAATAATAATAATAATAATAATAATAGCAATAATAATAATAATAATAATAATAGCAATAATAAAAATAATAATAATAACAATAATAACAATTTATATTATCATTTAACTAATGCATGATAAATACATTATTACTTATTGGATGGGGGTTTGATCTGGAAAATTAGTTTTGTAATTAGTAAGCACCATTAATTAAATGATAAAAGTTAAAATTATACAAGGTTTTTCACAATTTGAAATCAATAATTGACACCAAACTCTCATTCTATATCAATAATTAGGATCTTTTGATAGATTCTTTAGTCATAGCAGCTCACCTATGAAAAAGAAAACTCTGAAATAAAACTTCACTTTAGTGTAGTTAGGGTAGGTAGAATTTGTCAATCTTTGATGATAATCTTTCTAGTGATTGTATCAAGTTGAAAATAATTTCTTAAACTTTATGAAACAGGGTTACATAAGGAAGTACATCTAGTTTTAAAAATCTGCTCTAAAACCAAGTATAGTGGTGTTTCAAAAAAAAATACTTATTGCCCATTGTGTTGGTCAAAACAAGGTATGTCTAATGGTACATTTTTGTCCTAAGCAACTCAATGGTTAGAAATAAATCATTGGTCAGTGGCAAGTATGTTACAGCTGCCAGGGTTTTTTCTAGTTCTATATCAGCTGGTGAGAGTGCCATTATGATAAAAGGTGTGAGATTAAAAGTTGGATTAGTCAATGTGGGTTCCATGCAAAGAAAATGGGGAGAGACCGCAGAAATTACAAGCAAAAGAAGGCTAGAGATATGATTGAAAGTAATTAGCTGAAAAGGTGGTAAGATTATTGGGCATGATGATTTTTGGTACAAGTTCTTCTGGGTTGGGTGCAAAAATGAGTTGGATTTTAAATTTTAGCTGCAAAAAAATGAAATAGTTGAGAGTGATGGTATTAAGATTAGCTAATGGAGGGCCAGTGCCTAATATTGTTTTAGTATATGAACTTTGAACACGTAAGGCTTGAGAAAAATAAGAAGAATTCTGGGTCAGTTCAATTTTGTATGGTAAAATGGGTCTGGCCAGAAATCTTTTAGAAAGAATGCTGTTAGAGTTTTCAGATATATTCATATTTTACATAAAAAGATTCATAAAAATTAATTTATGAATCGGAATAATTTATGAATTTAGGACAAAAAGCACTGCCCAGATTACAAATTGATTTTATACCTGGTTGGATTGCTAAGTCGTTCTTGAAGAGTAGTTTAGTTTATGAACCAGCTATGCTTAAGTAAAGTTTTCAGAATTTGGAATATTTAGCAGTAAAACCCATTCTAGAAATCAAGCCTAATCTATTTAACGGAACAGAGACTAAAGATATTACTGATTATTAATATCTTTTTCAGCTTTTTCCACTCCATAATTGATAAACAGACACGAGGAGGTTAATAACATTTACATACATTTTTAAAATCAAAAAGCATCAAACTGTTTTTATTTTAGACATATTAGTGTAGTGTTTATAAAAAAGTATTTGGTTAATTGATTATATTTAGTTTATATTTATATTATAAAATTGATTATATTTAGATTATATTTAGTTCATAGTGTCTTAAAATTGATTGTATTTTTTAGATGTTTTTTAATTCATTAACCTTTGTAATAAATGCTACAGAAGATTGTTTTGTATTTTAATTTTTGTATTTACTAAATGTAGTTGTCCGATTCAAAAATAACTGCAACCACATATTTTTCATCATAATATATTTTTGAGTTTAAATTTTATAACTTTTTAGGCTCTTAAATAAAGACCAGTTTAAAGTTATTTTTTCATGAAAGAAGTTATTAACTTTTTTGTTTTAATTTTATTAAACACTTCTAACCATTGTAATTAAAAACATTTTTTTTTTTTTAATATATTAATGTATTCTTAAATGGAAAAAAAAAAACTTTTCCTATAAATACTTACAAATCAAAAATTCAGGTATTTGATTCCATTCAAATGTTGCTCTTAAAATTCATATTATCGATGTTTAGGAAGTATAAAGATTGTGTAATACTATTAAATCAGCTATGACTTCCAATTATCTAGACTTGAAATCAATTTCGAACTTATGCGGTAGTGGTGTAGTGGTAAAACACTCGCTTCATAAGCGAGAGGTTCCGAGTTCGATCCCCACCACGTCCCTAGTAGTACCGCGCTCAACTTGTTTCTCCGCACAGCGGCCTTGTTTGTCAAGGTTCGTGTTTCGGAGTTATAGAGTTGAGAGAGGGTTATAACCACTATTAAGTAGCCTCCTCGTCTGTAGTGGCCTTCTCGGCCTTGAGGAGGTGAATAAAAAAAAAAAAATAAACTTTCAATTGTCAAGTTTATTGAGGCCTCAATAAACACATAAATTCATAAACATATTCTAGAAGAGCTTTTAAAAAAAAAAAAGTGAATTTAAATTGAATGTTTAATTTGATTATCGTGATACACTTACATTGATCTACTATTTGGCTTGATATAAACTGTATAATTAAGCATTAAAAATAGTAAAAATATAATAACATTTAAAATTAATTTAAAGATAACTTAAATAATTTATTAATGTTACTTCAAGAGGAAATTTAAATATCTACAATTTAGTTTAAGTTTATTAAAATGTTTAATTACTTATGGAAAATAATTTTAATAAAATTACAGCAAATATCAATTATTTAGTCTTTGATATTAAATAAACTTCTAGACCAATTAATTCTAACTTCCAGACCAATTAATTTTTTTAATATTGCATTGTAAAATAAAAAATGAATGTCTAAAAACTTAATATTTCAACAATAATTAGTCCAAATAATTGATTGTTTTAATAAATTCCATATAATTGATAAAAAGATCTATATTGGAAGTAATGGTTAAAAAATCAGATTAGAGTATTTTTTATCTTAATAAACAGTGGTGCTTGATGTAGCACCAATGATTCAATAAGATGCATCAAGAACCAAGATGCCAACCCACCTACCTACCATGGTAACTTAAGAATAGCTACTAGTATATTGACTTTCATTATAGGGCAGGTTTTATGTAAAGTCAATATTGAAGAAGATACCTTTGTAAATATAATGATCAGCAAAAATTTAACACAATAAAATTTTGTATATGATTTCATTCACTGCCTAATGTGAGACTAGGTTTTGAAAATTACTGAGTTGTATCTGAAAAAAAATTTAGTGTACCATGTTTACTATTTAATGAAACATTTGTACTGTATGTATGATACAACATGTATATTATTAGGTGCAACATAATATAATACAAAATATATATACAAGATACAGAGTGATAACATTATCGTTGTTATTTAAACAACAAAAAAACATGAGATATATGTATAAGAAATAAATTATATACATTTTTACTGTGTTCATTATAAAAAGCATCAAAATCTACTATTATAACATATAAAGTAAAAAATGCTACATAGGTCATATATATACTACGCATGCATGAGAACATGTGTAAAATCTCATGAGTATGCAATATCTCATACGTTTATAAGTCTCATATGCAATATTATACATGTATAAGTCTCATATTTGTAATCCAAGTAATGTACAATGTACATGTGTAGTCAAAGAGCCATTGAAATAGTTTTGTTTATATTTTTGATAAATATATTATTAAGTTTAAAGGTTTATATATAATTTTTAGATTGTTGAAGTAATTATGCGGCTGGGTCAAGCTTATATGATGCTTTGTAAGGCTGGTGATGTTAGCTACATTAATTGGAGAAAAAATTTTTTTTGCAGCATTGAATCAGGTGAAGAATTTTTATTGGCTGATTTGAAATTAGAAACTGTAAAGATTGAGAAAAGACTGACTGAATGGAGCAACATGTTAAAAAATATTCGTTTGGAAAATCCTATTATAAATCATTTTACTATCAAGCAATGTCTTTTTCTTCAAAAACATTTGTATTTTTTGTATGAAGATTCAAATTATTGTCAAGTACTGCCCTTTCAGTTTTATATTCTTCTAAAAAAATTTAATCAAGATGTCAAATTAACTAATGTTAAAAAAGCTTTAAGCTTGTCTAATAGGAAAAAGAATCAGATTGTCAAGGATGATTGGAAAAAAACATCTAATTTTGATGAACTCACTGCACTTGAAATTCATAAGATAGTTTCTTCCCTGCATGAAGTATTCAAATTTTCTGAAACTGTTGCTTGGGCAGCTACCCTAAATATTTTTCCATATTGTGAATGGAAAGCTGTTTTGTGGTGTAATAAACAAAAGCAAGATGATGATCAAATGATTGAGTTTGAATTGGAAGCGCGTAAACGATATGAACAGCTTTTAAAAATAAATACATGGTTAGTTGTTTTTACATTTCTATTAAAATTAAAATACAAAAAAAAAATCATTTTATTTTGTTCACATAAGTAGTTTTAGAAATTTTATCCACAAGTATTTAATGTAGCATTTTATAATACTCTTTTATGTTAACATTCATGGATAATTATTGTTATACATGGATATTTTATGTTAACATTATTTATTGTTATTTTATTTTCAGATTAATAAAAACTCTACTTTTAGATGATGAATAACACCAATGAAAATCCCTAAAATGTTAATTTTTCACAAGTGTGCTGTATTTTAGTGCTCTATCTGCAAATACATGCTAAGCAAGCATATTTTCTGAAAGACTTTTCAATCAATTAAATAGATATTTACCCTTAAAAAGTTCATATTGTTTAAGAATTATTTTCTGTTACTATACTTGTTTTTGTTATTTTTTCATTCAATTTATCCCTTGTAACTACATCATATTTTGTATTATCCTATATTTTTGTGTACTTATGATACAATATTGTTGGCCTACAAACAAAAGGCTTAAATTTGTCATTTACTAACAGCGAAGATACTAACCTAATAACCTACTAGTTTAAAATCTTTTTTTAGCAATGAAGTTTTGGTTGAGAATAATACATATGTATCAGTTGAAGAACTTAGTTCTTTTTTAAAAGAATACATAGGTTTGATTATTTGTTTTATCATATATCATTCATGATTTGCCACTAAGATTGAATGCATTTATTATATATCAATATATATGATGATGTTTATATAAAATATGTATTGGTAAATGATATATATTATATATGATATTAATGTCAAATTATATGTATGATATATTATATATAAAGCATATAAAAATATGTATTCAAGTTTTTTCATAAATCATTATATATTATAATTTTTCATAATTCATTTTTATTTTCAAATGCTTGTTGTTGTTTTTTTTTATCAGATGTTTTACCTTACAAAGGCTTTTAAACTCTCTTCCATCTTCATTTTTTCCTGACTCATACAACCTACAACTTTTCAAATCTTCTGTCAACCATTTTCTTACTCTTTAACTCTATTCTATGTTTTCTAGTAACTACCATCTTAATTGTGGTTACCCTAGTCAGCCTTGTTATAAGTGAAGCTGATTTAAAAAAAAAAAAAAAAAAAAGCAAGCTAATAATTTAATCACTTTAATCATAGTTTAAATAATTGTAATTCTAAAGAATAAATAAGGATGAAAAAATTATTTGGTTATATTATCTTATAAATTTTTGATATATTATTTATTTTGTTATTTTATCAAAAAACTTTTTAAAATACTTTAAATGACTTAATCATTCTTGTAAATTTTTTTTTCAGTAAAGACAACTCAAAAGTTTGTTTTTTAATGTTTTAAAAATTTTTATTAGAAAAAATTATTTAAAGCCTAAAAGTCTAAAATAATAGTAGTGATTAGCACAACTTCAGTTTTTTAAAAGATTCTAAATGCTTAAAAAAGTTTTAGTTAGCTTATTAGGCCAAACTTTGCCCGGTATGCCCAGACACATTGATGACTTTATTTGTTTTGAAAACTAGTAGCCGTTAACACATTTAAGGATCTCAAGTACCAATCAGTGTGAAAAACATTAAAAACGCTACTGAAAATAGTTAATCATAGCTTCTGTACTCTATAAAAAACAAACTTATGTAAGTATTATATAAGTATTTAAATACTTAGAACTGGAGTTTGGACTTAAAATTAGGGCACCCATACCAGTATACCAGTATCAAAATTGGCCTGGATACGTCAGTGATTTGATTTTTATTTTAACTCTGTCAAAAATCTATAATTCTAGAGTAGTGTACTCTTCAATAAAGGCATGTTGGGAGTAAATTTTTAATGATTAGTACTTAGTTTATTTTTTGCAACAGAAGATTATCTGAGTTAGATGCAACTAATAGGTTTTATTGTGGATTATAGTGGAGAGACTAAGGCTATTGTTTTCAACATTTCTAAACCCTTTGATAAATCTCAAAATGCTAGTCTTCTCCATATGCTTTTCTCTTATAGTGAATCAGGTAACATCTTTAAGATTATTGAATTCTTCCTTATAAATCATAGTATAAAAGTTGTTCTTGATGGACAGCACTCTTCTTCATATCTTCTAACTTCAGGGGTTTCTCAAGGTTCTTTTCTTGGCTCTATACTTTTTTTAATTTACATTAACGATCTCCCAAAAATTCTCATATCAAAGGTGGCATTGTTTGCTGATTATACCACCATTTATTCTTATCTTGATAAGAAGCCAACACTCTCTGATAGCTTGGAAGAGGCATTTGGGCTTGAAAAAGATCTCACCTCTGTTACAGAATGGAGCTCTCAGTGAATTTTAACTCAGAGAAAATTCTTTTGATAACTCTCCGATAAAAATATTTTTTCATGCAAATTTTCATCACAATAATCTAGATCTCCCTATATTTATGAATGGTAATGTACTTGATGAGTCATCTACCCTTCACATTCTAGGATTAACTCTTCCAATCTTTCTCGGAAATTTTATATCAAATTGATTGCTTCCAATTCTAATAGTGGTTGCTTGTAGCCTTGTTAGAAGTTGTTAGAAGAGTTTAAAAAAAATTCTTATTTACAATTCAATTCTTATTTACAAATTCAATCAGGCATTTATCATATGTTCAATGTAGTGGTGTAAAAGAAGAGCACAAGTCCAGTTTGTTAGGCTTTATTGAGAGTCTTTGATTGGCAAGAGCAATAGCTGTAATGCTTTAATCTAATAGAATAGAATTTTTCACCATAGAACCTTTTTTGCTCTTACAATAATTTAGTAGTACCAGATGGTACTACTAAAATACTACTGTTTAAATTGCTTTTAGTTTTATTATAGACTAATAAGAATTTAGTTAAATCATTTTTACAATTATTAGTAAAAGATTTTTTAAACTTTACTGGTAGCCCTTTGAGCCTCTTCAGAAAATGTATCAAATATACCAATATGAATGAAGGAATAAATAATTTCATAGTCATGAATTTATATTTTATGAAGTGTTAAACCATAAGATATCATGTGCACAGGTTTGCATTAAGAAAGCAGTTATTCTGCAGAATGCTTTAAATTTTGATCATTCAATATCATATTCACATAACATTGTTGCTGATAACACAAAGTTTTATATATATATATATATATATATATATATATATATATATATATATATATATATATATATATATGTATGTATGTATGTATGTATGTATGTATGTATGTATGTATGTATGTATGTATGTATGTATGTATGTATGTATGTATGTATGTATGTATGTATGTATGTATGTATGTATGTATGTATGTATGTATGTATGTATGTATGTATGTATGTATGTATGTATGTATGTATGTATGTATGTATGTATGTATGTATGTATGTATGTATGTATGTATGTATGTATGTATGTATGTATGTATGTATGTATGTATGTATGTATGTATGTATGTATGTATGTATGTATGTATGTATGTATGTATGTATGTATGTATGTATGTATGTATGTATGTATGTATGTATGTATGTATGTATGTATGTATGTATGTATGTATGTATTTATGTATGTATGTATGTATGTATGTATGTATGTATGTATGTATGTATGTATGTATGTATGTATGTATGTATGTATGTATGTATGTATGTATGTATGTATGTATGTATGTATGTATGTATGTATGTATGTATGTATGTATTTATATATGTATGTATGTATGTATGTATGTATGTATGTATGTATGTATGTATGTATGTATGTATGTATGTATGTATGTATGTATGTATGTATGTATGTATGTATGTATGTATGTATGTATGTATGTATGTATGTGTGTATGTATCTGTCTACATATGTATGTATCTGTCTATATATGTATGTATCTGTCTATATATGTATGTATCTGTCTATATATGTATGTATCTATGTATGTATATTTGTCTGTATTTATGAATGCATGCATGTATACAATGATAATATGTAATTTCAAATACCTTTAATTAAGTTTTAAGTAAAATATTTTTTAGATCTTAAAATCTTTCAAGTTAAAAGAAGCATTCCAAACTACATACATAAAAACAAACCCACTTTAATAG